AAGTGCAAATTTTCTTCATATTTTTAGAGAGAGGCTATTGTTTATCTTCTCACCTATACGGGTATTGATGCAGTGAAAGTTGCTGCGATAAACCTGAAATCTCGTAGGAAAGAGGGTCAACTAAGCAATGGAAATAATGAAAATATTTATTTTTATGGTTAGAACTGATGTGAGTGAGTCAAAACCAAACAACATTTTCATCAATATTCATATTTGAAGATATTTTAAGCCTTTAAAAACAAAGGCAGATTGATATAATTTATTTTAATTTTGCTGCCTATCAGTGGCGGTTCGTCAAAGGAAGCAGGGGAGGCTGAACCTACCCAAAAAATTGAAAATTCAATCTCAATTTTTTATTCCTGATTTCTAATTAAAATAATAATTAACAAATTACACTTTCCAATTTTCGATATTTCAATGTAATTTAGAAAAATCTGACAACATTATTTCAATCAATCCCGCGCCTCCACGACAAATATCTGTGAATCTGGGATACTCAGTAATACCGGCCCGAAGGGCCGGAGTTATATGCGAGCCCGAAGGGCCGGAGTTATATGCGAGCCCGAAGGGCCGGAGTTATATGCGAGCCCGAAGGGCCGGAGTTATATGCGAGCCCGAAGGGCCGGAGTTATATGCGAGCCCGAAGGGCCGGAGTTATATGCGAGCCCGAAGGGCCGGAGTTATATGCGAGCCCGAAGGGCTAGAGTAATTTTAATCACGGGGCCTAGTTTATAATTCTATTGGTGAGCAATAATTTAGAGCTAATTGAAAATCGGGAGTATTTAAAATGCGATTTCTAACGTCCGATTAAAGAGTCAGGAATATTCAAAATCTTTAGTTTTATCAAATTGGCTTTGGAATGTTGGTTTTCTTAAAATTTTTAGTTTTTTCAGAAAACGGTGGTTTTTGCAAACATATACTACTTTATCATTGTCTTTGTCTTACTCACTATAATCAATAAATAAACCTTTAAATGTCATTTTCATTGAAATTAAACTAAAAACAAGTTGCCTATAATTTATTTGGGGAATTTTAATTATTATAATCATTATTAATTAATTATTAAATTGAATTTTAAACAAAAAACCCTTTTAAAATGTTATTTTTGCTTTCCGAAATGAGATGTGGCAACGTTGCTTTTATTTGTCCATTTTGAAGTGACGCCTTGTAATTTTTTGCCAGTTTTTCCTCGAATTTTTCACTTTTCCGGGGCTTTTCAATGAAAAAAGGCAATTTAACATACGACGCTTTGAGTTTTCTTCATTTTTTATCAAAAATGTCGTTTTAAAATGACATAAATAACAAAATCCCATTTAAAATGTTTTTTTTTTGGAAGTTTCGATGTGGCAACACCGTTTGTATTAACTTCAAATAGGTTTTGTAATAAATGTCATTTGCCAGTTTTGACAGTCGGCAATTTTTAAATGACGTGTTTACATTTCTATTCAGTTTTTCGTCGAATTTTCCACTTTTCCAAGCCGTTTTCAGTCAAGAAACCCGATTTGAAATACGAGGCTTTGAATTTGAGGCTTTCAATTTGAGGCTTTGAATTTGAGGCTTTAAATTTCCTACATTTTGTACTAAAAATTCCCAGTTTTCCAATGGGGTAAGTGATAAAAACTCAAATTTCATTAAGTAGGCTTTGGAATGTCATTTTTAGAGGTTTTTCTTTGAATTTGTCCGCTTTTCCAAGGCTTTTCTGGTCGGATTTAAAGTACGAGGCTTTGAGTTTTCTTCATTTTCCACCAAAAATTTCCAGTGTTTTAACGAGGTAAGTGAGAAAAACTTTAGTTTTATCAAGTAGGTTTTGGAATGTCATTTTCGTTGGTTTTTTTTTTGGAATTTTTATTTAAGGTTTTTGGGGTCCGGGGATCGTTTTCTATCACTTTTTTTCTCGAAATTCGCAAAATAAAAAAAAAACTTTTTTGACGTTGACAGCTGTCAATTTTTTTTTGACACAAATTTATAGTTGGCGTCGCGAAACTGCCTTGTACCGGGGTTTGGTTTTCGTAGCTTTTATAGTAGAGCGGGAGAAAAGTCGAACATGTGTCAAATTTGACAGGTGACATTTGTCAATATTGCCAAAGTGTCGTGCGACAAAAGTTTTATCCGAACGAACCCGTTCATTGTTAACTGATTTTTCATACTCCGGCCCTTCGGGCCGTAATCTTTGAAACAAAAAGACGTCATTTTGTATCGATTGTCAAAAAAGCGTTGCCATATGTTTTTATCAAATCTCGATTTATAGGTTATTTTAAACCCAATCATTGACATTTCTGAAAAATATTTTTTTTAAAATTCCCAAATATCCTTAGGAATCTCCAAAAATCTATTAAAATCTCAGAATTCCATAATTTAGTGGAATTTCGGTAGAATAATTATGTTATTTTGAAAAAGGAATTAGATGTGAAATTTTTGCGGAGTTTCCATAGAATTCACATTAAATTTCAATTTCTCTCGAATTACTTGAAATTTCATTGAAATTCCGATCGAATTACACGAAATCCTAAATGAATTACATGGAGGAATTTTAAACAATTATATGAAATTACACCGAAATTCCCAACATGAAATTTCAGTTTTTACTGAATTTCAGTAATGCCGAGGAATTTCCAGCTAAAAACATGGAATTTCGGTGATACTCCGAAAAATTACCATGTAATAACATGAAATTTCAATATATTTCGATGAATTTTTAAGAAATTACTTTGAAACTTCATTAATATTCCCAGAAACTCCTGGCTATTAAAAGAGAATTTCAGTGAAATTCCGAAAAATTCTTATGAAAATAAATTAAATTTTGAAAATTCCTTGAAGTTTCATTGGATTTTTCGGTTATGAACGTGGATATTCTCATAAAATTTTAGTGAATTCCGAGAAATTTTTAAGAAATTACATGAAATTCCAAAAAAATTTATGAAAATTTTGTGGAATTCCAGGATATTTTAGTGGTAAAATTTTGAGGAATTTTAGTAAATTTAAAAAAAATATATGGAATTTTGAAATTGAAATCTTAGTGGAATTCCGAGGAATTTCATGAAATCCTATACTGTAATTAGCCTCCTCACTTGCAATAGTCACGAGCCGCCACTGCTGCCTATTCAGAAAGAAAAATTTCTTTCGTGTAATATTTTAGTTAATTAAATGATTTAGTCGATAGTAAGATAGGGTGAGTTGTAATAATTTAGTTTTGTGACTATTATGTTTCGTATTGGTCAATATAAGGAGCTTAAAGTATCATTTATTAGTTAGGAATTTATGGTAAGGTATCGTCCCACATAACAAAATTGCATCCTTAGAATGTACTGGGAATGTTCTTTTTTTAGGAGGAATGTGCCTAGAATGTTCGCCAAAACCATTGCGAATGTCCTGAGAATGTTCTGAGAAAAGATTGTAGAAATACTGTTTGCAATACCCAAGAACTTCCTGGGAAATTCATTAAGATATTCCTAGAATATACCTATGAGATTCTCAGTACATCCTGGAAAGAATATTCCTGTTTGATTCTAAAAATATTCTTGAAATGTATATTCTCACTTTCAAAGAATATTTATTTGACATTAGTTATGTTCTCAAAAGAATATTTTACCAATATGCTTGAAATATTCTTAGAATATTTCTACATATTATTATATAATTCTCAATATGCATCCTAGACATAACATTCTTGTTTGATTCTAAAAATATACTTGGAATGTTATTTTTGCATCCAAATAATGCCCTTTTCAGTCCTTTTATATGAAAGGCAGTGAAAGAGTTGTTGGAAAACTTCTCTGAAAAACACAAGTGTTTAACCAAAGCTCCAGTTTCGAGCTTGTTATGCTCTAGTCGCGGTAAGCACAAACGCTAGGCAAGATGTAGATCTTTGATAGCGCGTGGCTCCCTCTCTTGACTCTTGGAAGTCCTACAAAGCAAAAAAAAGAATATACCTATAATATTTTTAGTAGGTTCTAGATAGAGCATTATTGTTTAATTGTTCAATTAGGATTTTTGAGTAGGTACCTACTTAAGATAATTAGGTGAACAATATGAAAATATTCTTATCATGGTTACCTACCTAAATAAACTTCTAAGCACAACTTGGTAGGTATATTCTTAATACTTGACAGAGATATTAGCCGAAAGAACATTTTTTAGGGTACATTATAATAATGTTCGTATGACAATATTCAAATAATGTTATATAAGGTAGGTTCTTAGCACAATCTTTCAGGTAGGTGCATAGAAGCAACATTCCTAGTACATAAATAGAACGTTCAAAAATGAATATTTCAATCGAAACAATCTTAGAATATTCATTAAACATTCCTAAAAGAACATTCCAAAAAGCACTTTGAGGGAATATTCTGAGAATATGAATGTTCTTTCACTGTAATGTGGGGTGATGCATATTTTTCTATGCTGGCATTCTAATGTTTTGCACAATTACGTCATTTTAATTGTTATAGACTGAGAAAAACAATGCCATAAAGATGCTACATAATAATCGTGTATATTTTTATTTATTATGTAATAACTGAGCTTTAGTGATTGAGATTTTTCATAAACAGTTAATTTATTACTGTAATAGGTAACTACTAGGGCATTTAAATATTTCAATGTCCGCTCAAATTGAAAGAAAATAATGTGAGTATCAAATGGAATTAAATTTGTTGTAGAGCAGAAGAAGTAGTAAAATTCATCATTCATCACGATATACATTTCAATTCAATTCCTGTCACTGTTTGATTGCAGAGAAAGGTACTTACCTACTATAAAGAATATTAAATTAATAAAAAGTTGACATTTTGAAGAAAACAATAAATACAATAAATAAATTATTTTGTATCACTTACTCAATAAAAACTTAAGACAGAAACATTCAAAAACCGAATGAATGAACTAAAAATTGAACACCCACACGATACCTACGATAATAGCAAAAAAACAAAATTTATACTGTTAATATATGTTAATATATCCTCAGAAAATTCTTCAATTCACAAATATCTCTCACGTACCTACTTATCTCCAAATTTATTATAATCAATCCTAATCTAATCAAAAGCTTTTCCTTTCTAGATTCTAGTCCAACAAATCCAAATCACAATATACCCACTTCACAATAATATTTTGGTAACAATTGCGCCACGCCAAATGTTGATTGAACGTCCATATAGGGTACCACATACGCTATAGTACCCACGACCGTACGATTACAACCGCGAACAGAATGATTTGGTTTCAGGTTCTCTTCGCTCTTACCTTACTGTTAAAAGTGAACAGGTAAACCAATGGCGTAGTAGGAAAACCATCAATATTATTCATAATAACCTTTCAGCTTATCTTTTACTTGTAAATGCAGGTTGAAAGATAGGTACCATTTTTTTTTTTGGTGGAATTGTTACCTACTTGCTTATTTTGTTGATTTTTTTCAATTGCATTGATTAAGATTATAACTTTAGAAGTCAAAAGTAACATTGAAACAAAACATGATCATTTTATAAGGACACTGTGAAAAATTGACATTTCTGGAAAGGACATCACCAGTTTGGCCAAAGGTATCTTGTTATCTGGGATAGTTGGGTTAGGGGTAACCATAATTCAAAATAGTTGAGACAATATACAGTTTTTTTTCTTTCATAAACTTTCAGGTAAGAATTATGTATCAAATAATCCATAGGTACTTACATTCTGTAAATCATAATTTTTTGATAAATCATGATCCCTGATGATGAATGAGGGGGGCTCAATTCTCGAATCTAGTACACAGTAAGGAATTATCTTTGGCAATTCCGTTTTTTCCAGTAATTCCCTATGACTTCTTGTTACTTTCCTGAGATACATTACTTTAAAAAATCCTTTATTGACAGCATTACGCTGACGTCAAGCATTGATGTGTAGTACCTACTATATATTTTCTCGGTAATTCCTGAACTTCCCAAATAGTTACTTTCCCTTATTTCCTATAATAATTTCCAGTAATTCCTGAAAATTCCTATCAGATACTTCCTAGTTATAATCCCCTCATTTCAAAGGTATAGTAGGTATGTTTCCTATTATTTTATGATTCCCTATTATGACTTTCTAGTATTTTCCTTGGCTATACATTAATACTTTAACTGCAGTAGTATCTTGACGTCGTGCAGCACGATGTACTTTCTTTGCATCGGTAATTACCACAGATATAATCCCTCTGTAATTCTTAAACTTCCCTACTGATTAGAAAAATATACCTAAAGTAAAATATCCAGTAAATTTGATAATTTGAGTATCTTATTTAAAAATACTTTTAATAAGGAAATAAGTACTCTCGAAAAAATAATCAATACAATTTTAAAAAAGCACTTGTGCTGTGCTAATATTTAAATAATTTGGCAATATATTTTTAGTTTTCAAAAGTACTTTGAATTGTTTTAAGTAGGTACCTATACTTACTTATTATTCAGTATTTTACTTAAAATATGTCATTGACGTACTCTAAGTATTGGTATATCTAGTTTCAGTATTTTCTAGTTCGTATAAGGGAAGAAATCTAAAACAACTAATAATGTATTGATATACAGGTTAACTTTTTTCACAAAATTTGACGATGTTAAGTAGCTAAAAACCTTCTACAGAAAAATTTCCAGCGCTCCTTCAACAAAATTGTTAAAAACACGAAAACAATAATTCAAATAATTAATTTCAATGATCGACACCTAATACCTAATATCAATCCGGTAATACATTTACATTATAGAGTGAATATTTTAAGCCAGTTAACCTTGTCCGAACCAAGATTAGGAATTACAAGTATGCCTTTCAATTATTATTATTAATGGTGCAGAGGATGGTTCTAGCTGCTCACCCAAAAAGAAGTCAGAGACGCACCGTCAAATGGTTGCAGTTTGTTTTGTGGTGTGACGCAATGGGATTTTACTATGGGAGGGACTTTTGACGTCACATGTGTGACACAGATTGCCCACACAATCTAAATTGTTTTCTTCGAATTTATCTGATCATGTCGCTTAATGAGTACATTTTTCGCCAATTCATACTGATATCTAGCATGATTTTATTCACGCAGTTATACGACAATATCTTTGAAAAATCTTGTATATTAGTAGAATTATCGAATGTAATACCACAAGAGGTTTCAGGATTACCGGATAATACTTTTACCTGCCACGAAACGCGTTACGCAGCAACACCACGACTCCGAAGGAGGAGTGGTGTTGCTGGTAACGCGTTGAGTGTCAGGTAAAAGTATTAGGTAATCCTGAAACATCGAGTGGTATTCAAAAGGTTATACAACGAACTAAACCTTAATACTTTAAAATTTGAAAAATATTCCATAATAGAATTTGCTATAAATGCCACCAAGCGCGATAATCCCAAAAGGCTTATCACTTATTAAGCCTCTCGTGTCATATGGGAATAATGTACAATGAGTTATATAATCATTATAACAATAACATTATCAACGACGTAGCTATAGCTTTCACAGGGGGGTTAAGAACAGTAATGGCCGCTCATGGTCTATATGCTGGAAAGGGTTTCAATTTTAGACCAGACTATGTATAGACGACCGCCGGGCGTAGCATAGTCAGAGCTATTTCGAGTACAGGCAAAATGTACTCGGCTACCGGGTACAAGTACTTAGCGTAGAATGTTCTTGAGTACAGAGTACAATTACAAGTATTCAATACCCAAGTATTCAAAGTATCGTGTACATTTATGAATACATTCTAATACCACCTTGCATTCCTACCCAATGATGTCATAGGTACTTTTAAACAGCCTTGATTTATCATGGAAATCTAATAAATCCTCATAGGCTGCAAGCGCTGAGGTAGCTGCGAACTTAGCATTGCACATGGGTTATGACGTCACCTCCTCTTTCACACTTCCGTCACATTTCCCGAAATTTACCATCAAACCGCCGGTATAGATGTTCACACATCAAAAATTGAGAAACACATTTTGGTTTACTAAATGAATTGAGCAATTTTGAAGTTTGATTTGCTTATCCAGAGTCCATAGTTTAGGTATAAGGACTCGGTTATAACTGCACAAATTATAATGTAAAATTATATGTATTCTGAATCAGAATTAAATTATCTTTATGATAGAATAAGATTCAATTCTCTATCTTAAATACTTCTGGAGATATTGAGGCTCAAAGTCAAAACTTTGTCTCAAATTTCACAAAAGATTCAAAACTTATTTTCTTGAAAACGAAGCCCTTGAGTTCGGAGTCTCGAATGACATTTTTTATAGCTCTTCTCCAGAGCTACAATTGAGCAAAAGATTCATGCCGATAGCTTTACTTGTTTCTAAAATATGGCCCTTGGAAATATTTGAAAATCAAATTTCTATGCCATACCCCTTTGAAAAAATTTGAATTTTCAAATTTTTGAATTTTGCAATTTTTGACTTTACCAATCGAAAGAGGAGGTGAAAATTAGTGGAAAAGCATTAACGCAACTTTGTTTTTTGGGTTTTAGAGCTTGTTGAAAAATAAAAAGGATTTTTGCAATTTTTGAGCTCAGAAAATTTCAATAATTTGACATTGTCTTACTAAACCACTCATTATTCGGTTATAACTGCACATTTTATGATGTATAATTATATATTTTGAATTAGAATTAAATTATCTTCAAGATAAAATAAGATTCAATTGTTTATCTCAAATACTTTTGAAGATATTGAGACTCAAAGTCAAAACTTTGTCTCAAATTTCACAAAAGATTCAATGCTGATTTTCTCGAAAACGAAGCCCTTGGTTTCGGAGTCTCAAATAACCTTTTTTATAGCCCTTCTGAAGAGCTACAATTGAGTACAAGATTTTTGCCGATAGCTTCACTAGTTTCCAAAATATGGCTCTTTGAAATATTTGAAAATCAAATTCCCATGCATATACCCCTTTGAAAAAATTTGAATTTTTAAATTTTTGGATTTTGCAATTTTTGACTTCACCAATCGAAAGAGGAGGTGAAAGTTAGTGGAAAAGCATTTACGCAACTTTGTTTTTTGGGTTTTAGAGCTTGTTGAAAAATAAAAAGGATTTTTGCAATTTTTGAGCTCAGAAAATTTCAATAATTTGACATTGTCTTACTAAACCACTCATTATTCGGTTATAACTGCACATTTTATGATGTATAATTATATATTTTGAATTAGAATTAAATTATCTTCAAGATAAAATAAGATTCAATTGTTTATCTCAAATACTTTTGAAGATATTGAGACTCAAAGTCAAAACTTTGTCTCAAATTTCACAAAAGATTCAATGCTGATTTTCTCGAAAACGAAGCCCTTGGTTTCGGAGTCTCAAATAACCTTTTTTATAGCCCTTCTGAAGAGCTACAATTGAGTACAAGATTTTTGCCGATAGCTTCACTAGTTTCCAAAATATGGCTCTTTGAAATATTTGAAAATCAAATTCCCATGCATATACCCCTTTGAAAAAATTTGAATTTTTAAATTTTTGGATTTTGCAATTTTTGACTTCACCAATCGAAAGAGGAGGTGAAAGTTAGTGGAAAAGCATTTACGCAACTTTGTTTTTTGGGTTTTAGAGCTTGTTGAAAAATAAAAAGGATTTTTGCAATTTTTGAGCTCAGAAAATTTCAATAATTTGACATTGTCTTACTAAACCACTCATTATTCGGTTATAACTGCACATTTTATGATGTATAATTATATATTTTGAATTAGAATTAAATTATCTTCAAGATAAAATAAGATTCAATTGTTTATCTCAAATACTTTTGAAGATATTGAGACTCAAAGTCAAAACTTTGTCTCAAATTTCACAAAAGATTCAATGCTGATTTTCTCGAAAACGAAGCCCTTGGTTTCGGAGTCTCAAATAACCTTTTTTATAGCCCTTCTGAAGAGCTACAATTGAGTACAAGATTTTTGCCGATAGCTTCACTAGTTTCCAAAATATGGCCCTTTGAAATATTTGAATATCAAATTCCCATGCATACCCCCTTGGAAAAATTTGAATTTTTATTTTTGGATTTTGCAATTTTTGACTTTACCAATCGAAAGAGGAGGTGAAAATTAGTAGAAAAGCATTTACGCAACTTTGTTTTTTGGTTTTTAGAGCTTGTAAAAAAATAAAAATGATTTTTGCAATTTTTGAGCTCAGAAAATTTCAATAATCTGACATTGTCTCACAAAATCGCTCATTACTCGGTTATTATTGCAACAAATATGATATAAAATTATATATTCTGAATCAGAATCAAATTATCTTCAAGATAGAA